GGATGTACCTAAAAAGACATGCCCTTATGAAGACAGGATGAGGGAGTTGGGATTGTTCAGCCTGGAGAAGAGAAGGCTCTGGGGAGACCTTAGAACAGCCTTCTAGTACCTGAAGGGGCCTACAAGAAGGCTGGAGAGGGACTGTTTATCAGGGAGTGCAGTGATAGGGTGAGGGGTAATGGCCTTAAAGCTGAAGGAGGGGAAATTTAGATTAGATATTAGGAAGAAATTCTTCACTGTGAGGGTGGTGAGGCACTGGAACAGGTTGCCCAGAGCAGTTGTGGATGCCCCATCCCTGGAAGTGTTCAAGGCCAGGTTGGATGGGGCTTTGGGCAACCTGGTCTAGTGGAGGGTGTCCCTGCCCGTGGCAGGGGAGTTGAAACTAGATGATCTTTAAGGTCCCTTCCAACCCAAACTATTCTATGATTCTAAATAGCTACCATGTGGAAGTTGCAGAGCAATTTAGCCTTTGTAGTTTGCAGGCTAGACAAAGATCATCTTTTTCCAAAAATTCTTATTGGCACAAAATTGACTCTGCCGTCTTTGTCTATCTGAAATTGAAGTTTGTTAGATGCCTCCAGAAGTCAGAAAGGGATAAAGATTATTTATATATTTAGGAGTAGTGTGAGTAGTGTGTAATGTTCCTTTTGAGCATCTCCATCTTCTCCCTGGTGCTGCGGTCCATGCTTGTATTGTTGAGGCAGTGGTTTTGTGCTTTATAGCAATATAATTTGGGCACTCCTGGGTCCTGAGAGCTCACTGTTGCCGCTGCATTATGGTGACACAGCTGTGCGTGTAGTTGGCAATGGACTAGACTGGGGAACTGATTTTGCTGAATACCCAGAAAAAATGGCTGGTTTTCAGCTAAATTGATTCCCCAGTTGAAGAAGGGGCAGTGTAGGGACAGAAGCAAGCAGCTGGATGGTGGAGGACTTGAGGGTTGCTTAAGCTGGTGTTGCTGCTGCAGAACATCTGTGGGATCACAGCCACTCTTGTCCCAGAAGCAGCTGGCCCAAAAGTAGAAAAATGCCATGATAGAAAGCTTTTGTCTGGTTAGGCAACAGATACAAATCCTTGAGGGCACTCACCCTGAAACCCTTGTTGAGGATAAGAAATACTTGCTCTTAAGAATGTCCATCAGCTTCTGGATGACTCATTTAAAGATCATGGTATAGCACATTTCTTTATGGGAAATCTTCTAGTCTGTTCAGAAATAACAGGAAAACAAACATTTTACAATTTTAATTAGGTTCTAAATATTAATGTGTGTAACTGATTGATCCTTTTATAATGACAGTTATAGAGTGGTATAACTGTCTGGGAAGTCTAAAAACAGCCTTTCTGTTGGTTACAGAAAAGGATTCCATGCCTTTCACAGGACTTCCAAATAATGCAGCATGGATGATTATAAATCCTCAAAGCATCTTCCAAATTCCTCTATGTCCTCATCATACTTTTAATTGAAAACTCAAAAACAAACTTTTAAAATCAAACTCACCCAGTTACAGCTTTTACTGTAGTCTTGTGGACCGGATGCATTTTTAGATTTTTTTTTTTTAAATGGGGATATGTTGCATACTAAGACTTGGCATTGCTCTGAAAAAAGTTCCCTTTCCCTTAGGTAGTGGCTAGATGTTTGGATGTACAAATGGTGTAAGCAGGTTCTCTGCCCTGTGCTGTACTGGCACAAGTGTTGGTGTGGCTGCACGGCAGACTGCACTGGGAACTTGATTTAGCTGGAGTGAACCAGAAGACTAGCTTTTACACCTGGGTCAGTTTTCTCATTGGTTTATCTTGTATCACTGCAGATTCTTGTGCTGGACTAAAATGGGAGGGGGATGTAGAGGAAGGAGACAGCAGGATTTCCTGATGTGTTTAATGGTTCATCCCAGTTTAGTTTCATTTGAGCTGCAGCCCTACTTGGAGTAATAGAATTGTTGTCCAGGCTGTTTGAGATGCGGAGTCAGACTGATTTTTTTTTTCTTCTTTTATTTTCTTTTTTCTTTTTTTCTATTTTGTGGCAGTGTTCCCCTGTACTGTGTTCGTTCAGCTACGGCTTGTATGGAGGAATCAATGCAGCTGAAAAATAACGTAGGAAAAACTGCATTTCAGCTGAATCAGCTTTCTGATATGGTTCACAGTGTGGATATACAAGCAGCACTGCTGGCACAACGCAGGATATAGTGGCAGGGCAAGAATGAATGTCAATGCGAGGTTTGTGCAAGCTGTGTTACCTTTGATGTGGGACAAACATTGAATGACATGCCAACTAGGATTAAGAAGAAACCTTCTATCTGTGTCGTCTCCTACATGAGTTAGGAAACCTGCAGGTCCAGGTACAACTCTAATGATAATCCAGGCCCTGTGCTGAAGTTCCATTGGACAATTTACTAGAGAAACTCTGGTTTATAATCCCAGTGCCAATGAACACCACTTGGTGTGGTGCTGCTCAGAGTTACATAGCAAACTAGTGTGCGAGGACTGACTTGCCCCACTCTGTGCTGTACCTGGCTGGGCTAGACTGCTTTTGCTGTAGCTTGATACTGTGCTTTTACATAAAGGATATAGTTTCAGTGGACTGGCTACACTGAATATACCTGCGTTAGGGAAATAGATTCTGTTTTACAACACTGTTGTTAAAATGGTGTTTGAAATGTGATTTTCCTAGTTTATGCAGGTTACACATTCCTGTTTAAAAGAAAATCTAGTATGTCGGAAGTTCCTAAGTACAGTTGCTGTTTACCTAGTTGGAACAGATCTTATGTGTCTGAGACATATCAAACTTTTTTTCCCCTTTTGGGAAGAGGACAGAACTCTCTTTTTCCAGGTTAGATTGAGGAGGGAAGGTTGAGTCTCCTACCATTCCAAATCCTTGCTGGGTGGGTGTTAGATATGTCTGTCACCTATTTGTGGATTCAGGCCTGGCTGCACTTGTGCTCCCACATGATCTGACCTAACCATCATGTGGTACTAGACAAAGTGTAACATCTCCAGCACATCTCCTTCGATAAAGCAAATTGGCTTTGGCTCCCGTAAGATGGTGACAGCAGTCCTTACCAGCCAGCCTCCTAACTGAGCTCTTTTAACTCTTCCTTTTAGCCCCTTTCCACAGGCCTCCAAATGCTACAGGGACAGAGCCTGAGGCCAATTATAGTGGTCATGATTTAACTCTTTCCAGCCTTTGCAAAGATTGTTATAGCTTACCAAACTCTGTTAGTCTAAGTCTGTGTTTTAAGGATGTGTGTTTCCAGGCTTTCTGTATCCATTGTAAAGAGAAGGGCACAATCCCAATTTTTTCTCTTTGCAGATTACCGTTACAATTTGCTCTCAAATGGATAGGAGCGATGTTTGCTTTGGACAGGAAATATATCAAGGAGGGGTAGGCACTTTCTAGCCAAGCTTTAACTGAAGTAAAAGCAAATACTTCATACGGCAGTAAGGTTTGGCTCAGTCTCATTTGTTTTGTTGTAACAAGCATCAGCTTCGGTTGGTGGTTTTTGTTGTTTTCTTTTTTTCCTCCACCCTTTTTTCCTTGCTTCTCTTCAGATCATGACATAGGGTCCTGGGAATGAACTTATGACAACATGGATAAAATAGCGTGTATTCATTACCAGTAATTCTTATTGTTGCCTTGAATATACACCGAACAAATTTTTGAAACAAATGTACTGCCATTTATAACTTTGTTCTGGGTATTAACAGAGCAAACATTACTAATCAACTGAAGTACAAAACTGAAATAGAAGTGGGGAGAATGACTATTTGAGCTACTCTATCAGCTATTAATATGTTGAATGTTGTCACACTCATTCAGGTTAATGATGAGTGTTAAGTGAGGAATACTTAATAAAAACCTGTATTGTTAAAAACTTTGCTCCAAGTTTACACTTTCTGATTGATTTCTGGAGGATTATCCTGATGGTTTTTACTTTGCTGCTTTGCAGCTTGCTTTACCTGCATCTTTTTGAAGCTGAAGGTTAGCCCTGGTAATACCTTTTGTTTGATGAATGACTACAGTGCAGCAGAGTTATGTAGTGCTAGTCTACTGAGTTTAGACTGGTTGAAACAGCAGCATACCAGGAAGCAGGAGACTTCCATCCTCATTAATCAAAACCAAATATGATTGCCCTTGTATAATGTCCATTACTGTTTAAATGTTGACACAGTAACCATTTCAGTGGAGACTTCCAGCTGGTTTGTTTCTGTTTAAATTACTGAACATAAAAGAATTTTTATTTTAACATAGTGGTGGCTTTTAAATACTTATTTAAAGAATTACGGAAATATCGTGAAACATTTAAAAATTGCTTATTTCATTAAAGCCCTTTATATATTGCACATTACTGTAGCTGAGGTTTTTGATAGGAAAACTTTTTTGTTTACTTTATGTGGAATATTTTTCTTGCATTCGTTTTCTCTGACAGTGAATTGGGAAGAGAGAATGGGGCAAGAGAAATATTTTTTGAAGTGCAAATGATTTTATATGAAAATCCTCATTTGTGATACTCAGTTGTCCTTCCAGGTTTATTATGAATGATTACTTTACCTGACTGGATTTCAACTTGACAGTTGTCCTGTTAAAACACCATTGTTGGTATAAAAGGACAGTAATCGAGTTCAGCAAGGTTGTAAATAGGTTGACTTCACTGGAAGAACTCAATCTGTGGTGATTACAGTTCTAGTCTTCTGAAGATTGGGTTCCTAAAGTACCAAAAAGTTGAGATTGTTCTCGTACTTTTTAAGAAAATGATAATAATCTGTAATCCATCAGTAGTTTCTGCGGTGATGCTGTTGGAGTTTTATGCAAGTTTATAAACTGCTGAATTTAGCAATTTTCAATCACTAGTTGGATTTGAATTGATGATGATAACACAGACACAGTGCTAAAGAACATGTTTCTCTAGAATATGGAGATGCCATAATGAACTGGACATACGAGTTAAGACTCTCATGTGAGATTTACGAGTTGGATTATTTTTTTTTGTTTGTTTGTCTTGCAGGTTGCCATCACGAAAGCCAAAGTGGATTTCTCCGGTGTGGTGTGCCTGCCCCCTTCCGTCATTGCTGGAAATGGGCTGGACGGAGGAGGGGCTGGCGAAAATGATGATGAGCCGGTGTTGGTGTCACTTTCAGCGGCCCCCAGCCCTCAGAGCGAAGCTGTTGCCAATGAGCTGCAGGAGCTCTCCTTGCAGCCCGAGCTGACCCTCAACCTCCATCATGGCCGAAACCCCAACCTTCCTCCACTCAGTGAAAGGAAGAATGGTAAGTGGTACAGTGCACTCATGTTTCATCTAGTATGTCCTCACCAAGGAAGTACTGTGGTGTTGTCATGGTATGTGTTCTGGTGACAGGGCTGCTTCTTATTGCTTCTTACAATGTTTTATTTGTATGAAGAGCTAATAATCTGGCATTGTCAAAATTGATTTACATTGTTCAATGGGAAGGATTGATCCAACTGGCTGTGGAAGTTCCACAGAGCTCCAGTGATAAATGCTTCAGATTATTGTTGTAGGTGAATACCAGAAACAACTTCCACATGCTTTGTGGTGACTAAAAGTTGTGCAAAGCTGAGACAGTCAGTCAAAGGAAATGTTAGCTCATCTTCAGGCTATAGCCATCTGTAGATGTTTTTCTTTGCCACCTTGGTCTGCACTTACCAAGGGTGAGTAACTTTCACTGCAAATGTCTGAAAAGTTCTGTTGGACTTGTTAGAAGGAGGAACAAGACCTAGAGTTAAACATGAAAAATCCCAGAGTGAGAATGACCTAGCTATGTTTCTTGAGTTGCAGGTAGCTCATAAACAACTATGGTATGAATCCCTCTAACCATTTGGTGAGTGACAGTGGAGTGGTGAAATACAGGGTGGCTTGGTGATCAGAATTCCTGGTTTTGGAAGAATGTGAACTGTCTGAAGCTCAGGGTCACCAGGCTGCTGTGAAAGCCTTTGCACATTCAGCCCCATCTTGTGACAGACTGATGAAACCATTTGATAACCGGTGGCTTCTGTTTGTGAATTGCTCTTGTTGATCTCCCTTCACTCCACCCTCTGCAGTATATGTTGGTGGCTCTTGACAATATGAAGGTCTTGCTAGAGTCTAAATTCTTGCTGTCAACTTTACCTGCAAGATACTATGGATTTGAGCATGGTTGAGTCCTGGTTGCCTTATTGTGTTGGGCATTATATGCATTACATAGAGTTGCGTGACACAATATATTGGAAATGCTGGGGAGCTTTGAAGCGACTTTATAGCCAGAACATAATGCTTATGATAAAGTGATTTAGACTATGTGAACTGTAGGACAGTAATTTGGATTGGAAGGATACCTCACTTGACATGCCTGGTTCTTCACCTCCAGAAACCGAGCATGTCCTTCTCTGAACAATGTATCACTGTTTTACTAGTTGGAAGACTTAATTAACTTCAACCCAAGGTATTGGTTTTTAAGAGGATGAAAAGGATTTCCTCATTCATATACATTATACCATCAATATGTGATTACAGTCATGTTTACAGGCTGTAAAAATGGAGAAGCTAGAAACTGCAAAATAGAACAAAAAGCTTCTAGTCCTTAATGTTTGCAATCCTCTAAGTATAAGATAAAATACATCCAGTGGAGATAAAGGTGGTGGTAAATAAAGAGAAAAAATTGGAATATTAGTCAGCATAGTAGACTGTGATTTCAACACATCTCAACTAGTGGTAGACTTGGTCATTTTATAGTTACGAAGGCAAGGAGAGATTTCCAATGAAATTTAACTGAGGTAGTTTTGAAACTAGCAGGGGGCTTGAAGGCAGCATGGGAAATGCATATGAGCCTTTGTTTCCAAAACCTGACAGCTGGCCACCTGAAGGTGACATTGTACATTTACTGGAGGCAGGGCTCTTCTCAGTGACTAAGACATGATTAAGGGTCCTGAATTGGGAAGAAGCAATTTATTCTCAATGCCACAGGGAAAGGGATACTAGTGTTGGGAATGGATAAGAGTACGTTTTTAGGAAAATGAAACTTGTAGCAGCACTTTGAATGGATACAAGCAAGACACAACAACTTTTGTTATGGTCAGAGGAATGGATATTCTGTTACAGAAATGCAAGAGTCTTATATGATTCAGTTGTTTGGATAGTTTTAAAAATTGGTATATTGGGAATATTTTACAGAAATAATTGGTTTTCCTGTATCAGAATAATGTTATTTTTATGGACTCAACCTTGAAGCTGTATTGTTATGGCCTGCAAATCTGCTTGACTGAAACAAGTAAAATAGAGTTGGGTTTAAAAAGTATTTGAAAAGGAACACCTCTGCCCATACCTTTTGCCAAAGAAAATAAGGATATTCCCGGAAATGACTCATTAGGTGGGTCTCTTCGGAGCTGATTCTTTTATCAGGGCTCAGCACAATAGTGGGAATTTTACTGCTGGAGGTGCAGCTTTTCAGACAAGGTGTAAAGTCCCTGATCTAGACTACCTCAATATTCCTTATCGTCAGAGGTACACAATGCTCTTTTCTCCTAGGCTGCAGTATGTTCTTATGTGTTGTTTGTATGTACATTCATTAAAGTATTGTGGGACAGAAAAGTGCTGTTGAAATATGGTTATCTGCAAACTGTCACAGCATAAAAGGAGACTTGGCTTAGTGAGCTGTTGAGAAACATAGCTGATGCATTTTGAATTAATAAACTTGTTACCTCAGAAAGGAACTTTTCAGTTATCTTGGGGTAGAGGTTGCACAGCTGTTGAAAGCTGTTGAGCTTGTTAAAGGTCCTTTTTTAATATGGTATATCTTTGTTGTTGTGCCTTTGGCTTCAAACATGTTAAAAAAAACCTTTAGAGATGATCTGTCAGTTGAGATGGCAATCTGCTTAAACATTTGAGCAATCCAAAGTGGTTGTAGAAGCATATCTTGTGTAGTGAAACTGCTTCTGTGACAACTTGCCATATACAAGGTATGAGGAAGATTCAAGCTGAGTGGCAGTGGGAGGGGAGGAGATGGTAAATAAGAGACTTGCTGGAAGCTGCCTATCTGTGTCAAAGGGTCTGCTGGTTGCAGTTCTAGGCAGGCATTGCTGACTCACAGCTGAACTAACTACTTATGCTGAGTGCTTCTACTAGGTTAACCCTTAGTGTAACTTTTGCTTACAGAAGACTTTGTTTATGTGTAGATGTCTATAGATAAATATTACATGGATTTGTACTGAATTTGTTACTTCAGGCTGTGCTTCTGGAACAGAAACTATTAGCCGAGTTAAAATATAAATGGCATGTCAAGCATCATGGAATTATGTATCCCATGGGAGAACTGGGAATGCAATCCTTTATGCACATGCTGGCATATGTTCTAGGACAGTGGATTCCTTTTTTTTTTTTTTTTCCTTCTGCTCTTAGAGAACTGAAGAGCAGCAAGAAACAGTTTCTGAGGGTTTTCGTGTATGTTTTGTTTCAGACCCAGACTCCTCTTAATTTTCTTCTCCCTTATCACAGCTACACATTATCCTTGTAGGTATGTGTACCTTCAAGGATAGGTACACCAAGATAGATGGGTGTAATGACCTTAAACATCTTGACTGAATAGTTGTTATTAAGTTACTCTAAATTAAAATGCAATAAAAGCTATTAAGGATATGTGTGAAGTATTGGAATGTAACAGACAGATAGGAAAGAATTTCTTCTCACTTCAGTGGAAGGAAACCTTATGGGGTAAGGTGTTAGCAAAATATTTTGAAACAATAATTAGGTTCTATTCAGACATCAAGCTTAATGGAACATTTAAGGCATAGTTATTTAATTTCTCTTTGTGCTTCACAGTGAATTTTGTACCTAAAATTCACATTCCTTCTCCTTTTTTCCCCATGTTCATCAAGGCATCAACTTTCTTTAACTATGAGAGATTACCTGTGACTGACTCATTTATTTCCTTACAAGCCAAAAAAAGGTCATTACAGAATCATCTGAAGCTCTTAAGTGTATCTTGATTTTTCTCAGTCACCTGTACTAAGATGCCAAGATAACTTTTCCCAACCCTGAGGGCAGGTTTAGAGCAAGGCCCTGATGAATGTGGTTACAAAAACAGAGAAAAAACAGGTGATGAACATACAAATCTTATGCAGTTTGATAATTTCTGATCAAAATTGTCCTTCTATTTAACTTTCATTTGAGATTATGATAATTGCTCCACTAGCTTATTGACCTTCTCTCTTGACCCATTTTCCCCAGATGAATTCATAGTTATCTTTGTCCAAAGGTCATGAAAAGCTTTGTGTTAGAAGCCTGTGACAGTCCTGGTTTCTTTTCACTCCAGGCTTGTTTAAGGTGAGGTAACATTCTTTCGAATGAACTGTTGCATTTGCTGATTGTACGTTTGGACAAAACTTGTACCAGCTTGTCAATTTTTGGGGTTTATTTGATCTGGGATGCTTGCCTTCTACGAAGCACCATATGTGCTGGGGGGGAAAGAGACTAGTTGGAATGTATGGAATTTCAGTATGATTCGAAGTCATGTAACAGGCATGTGCTTTAGGTATCGGAAGGTATTCCTACTACTGTAAAGACTGAGGGCTGTACAAAACATGGGATTAATTGTTGCCATATAAGCTGTTGATGATTATATTCACTTGCAAATTGCAGAGTTGAACTTTCTAAATGGTTCTAAGGAACTGATTTAGTGCCTATTTGCTTATGCCCATTTACTGTTAAAAGATGGGAGTAATATTTTAGATGTTTTATTTTAAATAATTGTGTAGGTAATCGCTCCTGTAATTCTTTTATTAGGTTATATGTTCCTGTCTCCCACCCTCCTTCCCCTTTTCCATCCTGGATTGTCATTACATTGAATGCAGTCAGATTCAGGATTTATTTCAAATATGACTTATTATGATGGTTTTGCAGATTTTATAGCTGTCTTCTTACTACTGTGACTTTAAAAACATTGATAATGCTTTCTTGAAGTCATGTCATAAACTGTCCTTTTTTAAAAGTTAATATTGTGACTCGTTAATTCCTTTAAGAAGTTAGGCATGTTTCCTTACCAAAAAGGGTGGTATTTTATTCCTGAGAAAGGGTTTTAAAGAGACAGGATTATTCTGAAATTATTTTCTCGGGTTTTTAGTTGGGTTTTTTTTTTGTTTCTTTTTTTTTTGTTGTTGTTGTTCTAGTGTATATCTGACTTCAGGAATAGTGTGACTCAAAGTTACATTTAATTACCAAGTGTTGATTACTGCCTCATCCAGAACTTACTTACATGTGAAGAAGATTAAGTCTGTATTG